AAATGATGGTCGATTTGTAAAACCACCTCGAATCTAAGAAGAAAAAAAGAAGATTTTGTTGTTTTGTTATTTTGTTAAATAAAATAATTTACATTTTGTGGTTTTACAAATCGACCATCATTTGACGAAGATCGTCGGCCTTCTCGTGGTGGTATGGTCACTCGACCAATCATTCCATCATCATCATCATCATTATCATCATCCTATCGTCAACCATCAACAATGATTCCACGTCGTGGTATTCCATCAACATATACTGGTACACGTGGTAATATGAATCATCAAATACGTCGTAATATTCCTCCACCACCACGTCTTTATCCTCGTTCAGAATATCCTCCAAGTGCATCATCAAAACGTGTAACATTCCGACATTCAAATGATTTTAATTCTGGTGATGATTTTGATGAAGACGAAGAAGATGATGATAGTTTAGAAGGTGATCTTCATCAACCAATTCAACGTCGAAATAAACCACCAAGACGTACAGCTGCTCGAATAGCTGTACAACGTTTTCGAGCAAATCATTTACGTTCATCAATTGCTGATGATGATCTTGATGATGATATTGCACCAACAGTTACTGAAATGGATATGTTAGAAGATCAAGAACTTGATGAAGATGAAGCAAATATTCAAACAACAAGTACAAAAACAATGTCATCACCAGTTAAATTACCACCACCACCACCTCCACCACCAACATTACCAGTTAAACCAACAGGCGGAACAATAAAATCTTCTTACATTGGAAATATGTTACCAAGTTTTTATGAACAATTACCTGAATCAAAAAAAATGCTTTTACAAGATGCAACTATTGATTCATCATCAAATAATGCAACAGTTCAAACAATGACAGATGCATCATCTAAAAATCAAATTGAAGTTCTATCACCTGGAAAAGTAAAGAATTATTTTTGTTTTGACTTTTAAATTATATGATCTTGTTTTTTTTCCTTTCAGAAACAAGCTGGTCTAACAACTGAACATATTGAAGGTCCTGGTGGTGAAGAAATAATTGATGAAGAAAATCGTTTACAATTTCGTAATACAACTGTAACTCAACCATTTAAACGATCGACTGGTTATCAAAATTCCAAACGATATTATGAACAAGATGACGATGATAATGATGATCAACAACAACAAATGAGAAAACGTATGCGTCCTAATGATGATGAGTATTCATCTATGAATAATAATAATCGACAATTACAATATTCAAAACAACAACAACAACAACAACAGCAGCAGCAGCAACAACAACGTTATAGAAAATATGAAGATGATGAAGAATATGATATTAATCAAGATACACAACAACAAGATGAAGAATTTCAACAAACTATACGTGTACCTGCACGACGAGGGTAAAGAATACTATTTTCTTTTCTAAATAATTCTATTCATTCATTTATTAATTATTTTAGTCGTCCACCATCGCAACATCATCAACAACAACAATCACAACAACCACAGCAACAGCAACAACAAGAAGATCCATCAAAAAAATATGCTCGTATTATATCTCAATATGAAGAACAACATGGTTTAAAATTCGGTGATATGCGTGTATTTGCACCTAAACTTCGTTTACGTATATCAAGTGTTAATGTTAATTGGATTAATTTACCACCTGTACCAAAATTACCTTATAAAGTTCATCAATCGTGAGCAACATGCATTGTGTATCCGTCTTTGCTTTTATTTTAGCAAACTAATCTTCTTCTTCATCATTATTATTATATGTATTCATTCGGTTATCTTTTTTCTTTCTTTCTTTTTGTTTGTACATAATTTACATATATAGTATATATATCTCTATCATCTAAGAGAAAAAATATGGATTCTTTTTTTTTTGTCGACTGTAGATCAAAATAAAAAAAAGATATATGTTTTTGTTGGTATTCTAGATCATTTTTCACAAATATTTGAGAACGTTTCCCGAGTGAAATAAAAAATGTTTATGACAAGAAGTGAATATGATCGAGGTGTAAATACATTCTCACCTGAAGGTCGTCTTTTTCAAGTTGAATATGCTATTGAAGCTATTAAATTTGGTACAACAGCTATTGGAATTCAGACAGCAGAAGGTTAGAAAATGATTAAATAACTTATAGACAGTGAAATATTTTCATTCGAGATGACTTTGTTCTATTAGAAAGCATCTAATATGATTAGAACTGTGTGGGATCAACTCCGATCCCGGAGCCAAGAGCATAGTAGACTCAAGATTGTGACGATCGAGACCAAGATCAGAAAAATCTAGTCTCGCACATTTTCAAACATGAAATATTGCTTAAATTTATGAATCTAATGAAGTGATTTTTTTTATTTAGGTGTTGTCTTAGCAACAGAAAAACGTATTACATCAGTTCTTATCGAACCACGTAGTATTGAAAAGATTGTTGAAGTTGATGCACAGTGAGTTGATATCATAAAAAACAAGGAAGAACTTTATTATATATATTTATTTTTCTTTAGCTGTGGTGCTGCAATGTCCGGTTTAATTGCTGATGCTAAAACTTTAATAGATAAAGCACGTGTTGAAGCACAAAATCATTGGTTTACACATAATGAACGAATGACAATTGAATCTATTACTCAATCCGTATCAAATATGGCACTAGCATTTAGTGATGATTCTGAAGATGTTAATCCAATTTCACGTCCATTTGGTGTTGCACTTCTATTTGCTGGTTGGGATGAAAATGGCCCACATTTATTTCATCTTGATCCATCAGGTACATATACAGAATATGATGCTAAAGCTATTGGATCTGGTAGTGAAGGTGCTGATCAAACACTTCAAGATGTTTATCATAAATCAATGAAATTATCCGAAGCATGTAAACATGTTTTAACAATTCTTAAACAAGTTATGGAAGAAAAATTGAATGCAACTAATGTTGAAATGGCAACAGTTAATGCTAGTGGATATCGTTTATTTAAAAAAGAAGAAATTGATGACATTATTAAAAATATGTAAAACTCAAAATATCAATTATTGAAGATTTAGCCAAGAACATTAACATTTTTTTTTCATTTTCATTTTCTTCTGTTTGTTAAAATGATATCATTTGTTGTGTTTTTAAAAAAAAACAACAGACAAAGTGATGGTGCGAATCGATCTTTAAAGATTTTCTTTTTAATTCAAATAGATTTCATTTTTAACTTTTGTTTCTCTAAAAAAAATGCTGATATTTATGGTTGCTGAAAAGCCTTCATTGGCTTTATCAATATCTCAAATATTATCTAATGGTCAATTATCATCAAAAAAAGGTTTTAATAATGTTTGTAGTATTCATGAATGGACAGGAAGATATCAATCAAATTCATCAGCACGTTATCGTATGACATCAGTAGCTGGTCATGTATTTGGTCTTGATTTTGTTCCTCGTTATAATAATTGGGATAAAGTTGATCCAGTAAGAGTTATATATGTTTTTCTCTTTTGTTTTTGTTAAATTAAATTCTTACCTTAGGCAGAATTATTTGCTGGTGAAACATTGAAAAAAGAAGCATCACCAGGTCATCGTATGCCAGGTTTTCTTGAAAAAGAAGCTCGAGGTGCTGATGTCGTTGTCTTATGGTTAGATTGTGATAAAGAAGGAGAAAATATTTGTTTTGAAGTTATTGATTGTATTGATAAATCAATTAATCCAAATGTTTGTTATATTATTTGATAATTTCTATTGTCAATTGTTTTGTTTTTTTGATTCATAGGCAAAAATTCTTCGAGCAAAATTTAGTTCAATTACAGATAAAGATATTCGTCATGCATTCACAAATCTTGGTTATCCAGACAAAAATCAATCGTTATCTGTTGATGCTCGTCAAGAACTTGATTTACGTATTGGTTGTGCATTTACACGTTTTCAAACTCGATTTTTTCAAGTACTAAACTATATACTTTCTACAGTTCTGAGGGAAATCTAAATATAGATAATATAATAAATACTGAACGTATTGCGGATAAAGTTCTCATTATCTTCATCTGTAGATATAACTTCAGTATTTATGATATTCTTTATATCTTAACGTTTGTAGTTACTTATAGAATATCTTAACGCCTTTGATTTATTTTAGGGAAAATATGGAGATCTAGATAGTAGTTGTATATCTTATGGTCCTTGTCAAACACCTACACTTGGTTTTACTGTTGATCGTTATGATAAAATACAATCATTTCAATCTGAACCTTATTGGCTTTTAAGTGTTGAAGTAAATTTATTTCTTTAAATGGATTTAAGAAAAAGAAATTTTGATTATTTCCATAGATTAAACATACAAATGCTAAAACTTACAAACTTTTTTGGGATCGTGGTCATATGTTTGACAAAGAAATAGCTTATTTTTTTCTTAATAATATTAAAGCAGCAAATAAAGTTCGGTAAGAAAGAAAGAAAAAATTGTATTAAAATTAAATTTAAATAATATAGAGTTGTATCTGTTAAAACAGAAAAAAAACATAAAGGACGTCCTAATGCTTTAAATACTGTTGATTTACTTAAAGTAGCTAGTGCTGGTCTTGGTAAGAATACTCTATATTCATTTTATTAATTTACATATGATTTGTTTTTCCTATTAGGTATGAGTCCTCATCATGCAATGCAAATAGCTGAACGTCTTTATACATCTGGTTATATTAGTTATCCACGTACAGAAACTACACAATATGCTGATAATGCTGATTTGAAGTAAGTTTTTGAAGAAATAAAAAACATTTAACAATAAATCTTTTTTTCAAGAGGTGTTCTTCGTGAATTATCGAATTGTTCAGGTTCGGATTGGCAAGGTCATATCAAAAGTCTTTTATCCGAAGGACAATATACTTCACCAAAACGCGGTAAAGATGTTGGTGATCATCCTCCCATAACACCAGTTAAATCTGCAAATGCAACAACTGTTGGTGGTGGTGATTATTGGCGTCTATATGATTATGTTTGTCGACATTTTATTGCAACAGTATGATATCTAGTAATTAAATATAGGATAAACGGAAAGGTGTTTTGTTTTTCTTATTATTTTATTTCAGGTAAGTCCAGATTGTATTTATGAAGAAACAACAGTTGTATTCGAAGGAGCAAATGAAACATTTTCATTATCAGGTAAAAATGTTGTTGAACCAGGTTTTACAGCAATTATGTCATGGAAACGTGTTACGGATGATGATCCTATTCCAGCATTTACTGTTAATGAAACATTTCCAATTGATGATGTTAAATTAGATGAACGACATACATCAGCACCAGATTATTTAACTGAAAGTGAACTTATTTCATTAATGGAAAAACATGGAATTGGTACAGATGCAAGTATACCAGTACATATTAATAATATTTGTGAACGAAATTATGTCAAAGTTGATAATGGAAGACGTTTAATACCAACATCATTAGGTATTGTACTTGTTCATGGTTATCAAAAGGTATATGAATATAAAATATATAATACAAACATAGCTTGTTTTTTTGTATATGATTAGATTGATCCTGAATTATCTTTACCACATATGAGATCATCTGTAGAAACTGAACTTAATGAAGTTTGTTTTATTTAAATAATTTTTTTAAATATATTAAGATAATCTTTTCTATTAGATTGCTCTTGGTCGTGTTAATTTTAAACTAGTCGTTGCACATGTTCTTCGAATATTTGAAGAAAAATTTCATTATTTTGTTCAACATATTCAAGGTATGGATTCACTTTTCGAAGTATCATTTTCATCATTAGCTGCTAGTGGAAAACCATTTGTAAGGTAAACAAAAAACAAATCTTTCTATTTATTTATATAAAATAACCAAACAAATATATTTATATATTTAAAAGATGTGGAAAATGTCGTCGTTATATGAAATTAATTGAATCACGACCAAGTCGTTTACATTGTGAAATATGTAAAGATACATATAATCTTCCACAAAATGGTCTTATTAAAACATTTAAAGAACTTAAATGTCCATTAGATGAATTCGAACTTGTTCAATATGCTGCTAATAATAATGGAAAAGTAAGAAAAATAAAAAATATGAATTAAACTATTTCTTTATTCTCATATTTATTTAGAGTTTTTCATTATGTCCATATTGTTATAATAATCCACCATTTCCAGATATGCATAAAAATGCTGGTTGTAATGAATGTACACATCCAACATGTCGTTATTCACTTGGACATAATGGTATATGTGCTTGTTATATATGTAAACAAGGTGTATTTGTATTAGATACAACAGCAACACCAAAATATCGTTTAGCTTGTAATAAGTATGTTACATTGCGATCGTGAAAGATGCGCATATTTCAAATTTTCTTTTTTTTTTCGTAGATGTCCATTTGTTTTGGCATTACCTGATGCTATACAAAAAATTACAATGAAAGAGAATGAATTTTGTAAACAATGTGATACAGCATTAATGAATATAGAATTTAATAAGGTAGAAAAAAATCCGAAATAAAGACAATATTAAATGGGTATTTTTAGGAAAAACATCCTGATTTATCTAATCTTCAAGCAGCATGTTTACTTTGTCATGAATATTTTCTTGACACAATTCAACGAACAGTAACATATATTACTAATATGCAAAATCGACCAGCTTATGTACGTGGGCCTATGCGTGGTGGAGGACGAGGTGGACGTGGAAGAGGTCGTGGTGGTGGTGGTCGAGGAAGAGGTTCTTCTCGTGGTGGTGGCCGTGGTCGAGGTGAAGGAAGAGGTGGACGTGGCCGTGGAAGAAACTAGTCTTTCTTTTATTTTTGTTTTCATTATTTTATTGAGCTTTTTTCTAAAAAAAACCGTTTTTGTTTTGAGTGGTATTTGTTATTTTTATTTCAGATATAAAATATGACCACAAAATCTAATCGGCCAGATGAGGAACTTGAAGCTGATTTCAATGCACGTGCAACTCAATTGGAAAATTCTTTAAATGAATTAGAAAGTTTTCTTTCTCATATTGATTCAGTATCGTATACAACAATACATGAAGGTTTAACACCACTTGATCAAGCTCGATTTGATTTAACAGCTACTTATACACTTAATTCATTAATGTGGGCTTATTTAAGAACACGTGGTATTGATCCTAAACAAACACAATTAAAAAGTGAATTAGATCGAGTTAAATCTTATATGGATAAATTAAAATCAGTTGTCGATAGACAATCAGCATCAAGAATTGATAAACAAGCAACAACGCGACTTATGCGAAATGCTTTATGGCAACAAGCACATTCAAAAAATAAAACAACAAATAATGATGATCAACAAACAAATTAATATTTATTTTGTTTTGTTTTTTGTTATAATATATGAATTTCTTTGTTACCAAAAAATATGAATATATAGAAGTTTAAAAAAATATATACGGTTGTATTAAACAATTGAGTATATGTACATAATTAATAGAGAGAAAATAAATGTGAGTTAAACAGTTATAATCGTTCATTCTATTAATATGTTATTACTAACCGGATCTATGAAATTCATAAAAAATTAGAAGAAAAAACTATTGTTAGCGAAATTTGTTAAACATCAAAACTAACAATGGAAAATTGTAATAAAAATGAGATAACTTACTGAAGATAATAGTACAACATTTCCAGTCATTGAATTATTAAAAAAATCATTCTTCGAACATTATAGAAGTTACCGGAACTTCGCTAATGTTAAAAGTTCGGGATGTTTTGACGAAATTGGTATCTGTAGAGAAAGATTGTTAAATAATCAATACGGAAACATTCTTTTTATAATCAGTTGCTTTTCAATAAAATAACTTTTTTTATCGAAGAGTTTTGTAAATACTTACATTTTATATCTATTTTGTTCTGTACAAACTCTGCGCAATTTATATCTTTATTTTATCAATTAGGAAAGAATTTGAATGAACAATTATGAATTTTATTTCAATTTTCAATAAGAATAATAGAAAATATTTATTCGATATTTTACTGAATAGTGGCGACCTCTAAACATTTCTCTTTGAAGAATATAAAAATCCCAGTAGATTCGTCTTCTAAATTTACGATTCGCGATGCACCAGCCAAAAGCGTATTCATCATTTATAAGATCTAGTGCAATACTTTGTAATGTAAGTTTCTTTCGTAAATTGGAAAAAAAAATCCAAGTATTAATATGAACTAAAAATTATTTATTTTTCAGATTCATCGATAATTTCATAGAAAGCATAATGGAGTTATTTTCGTTTGTTGATGATATAAAGTAAGAAGAAATTAATTAGAAAATATGTAATAATTTTAATTTATTTATAGGCGAATGGATAAACGACAGGTATTTTTCTTAGAATTAAAAATCTAATTATAATTTATTTAATAAAAAATAGGCCATATATCAAATACTTAATTTTGGTATGATTATTTCAACAGCACTTATGATCTGGAAAGGACTTATGGTAGTAACAAGTAGTGAAAGTCCTATTGTTGTTGTACTTAGGTTCGTTAAAATCGCTCTTCATAATAATCTATTGATAATCGATTTTGAAATTTTAGTGGTAGTATGGAACCTGCTTTCTATCGTGGTGATTTACTTATGTTAACAAATTATCGTGAAGAACCTATTCGTGCCGGTGATATTGTTGTATTTCGTATAGAAGGTCGAGATATCCCAATTGTTCATCGAGTACTCAAAGTTCATGAACGGTATGTCATTTTTTAATCATTTAAATTTTATTTTCATTTTTCTAAATTCCAGAGATGATGGTTATGTTAAATTTTTAACTAAAGGTGATAATAATCAAGTTGATGATCGTGGTCTTTATGCACCTGGACAATTATGGCTTGAAAAGAAAGATGTTATTGGTCGTGCCCGAGGGTATTTTTTTTTTATTTAGAATTTATTTTTATATAAAATTGATTTTGTTTTAAATTAGATTTCTTCCATATATTGGTATGGTGACAATTGTTATGAATGATCATCCGCAATTAAAATATTTAGTCTTAGCTGTACTTGGCTTTTTTGTTTTAGTACATCGTGAAAACTAAAAATCTACATCTATTTTTATTTTTATTTATTCATCAAAAGAAAAAAAAAAGAAAAAAAAGCAATCGTTTATTAAGATAGTACTTTTTTTTGTTTGTTATCGTTGTTGTTTAGATCTGTTTTATGAAAAGAAAAAGAAAACTATATTATCATCTTTTATTCTTTTAGATAATGACATCGAAGTCAAAATCATCTGGATTTGATGCGTCAAAAAATAATACAATAGCTCAATTTGATCCTGGTACTATTCAAATTCGTAATCATTCGTCAAAACTAACAGAATCAGAATTAATATCACTAAAATTACTTTTTTATGCATTACTTGATATACTTTCATTGACTATTACAAATAATGATACACATAAATCTCGATTATTATTTCAATTATTACTTCGTCTTCTAACAACAAGTAAAATTCTTCCAGAATCAATGCATTTCTCAGCTATATCAAGTCAACAATTAGATCATGCACAAAATTATGTACGTACTTTACGTGCAACTATTCAAGCAGCATTAAATATTATTCAAAAACCGACAACTACAGATAGACCAAGTATTACAAGTCTTTTAGAAAGAGACTATACAAAAGCTTTATTAACAACATCACCAAATCCATTAACATCACCTTCAAATATTACTATTGATATACCTCAGCCAGATCTTCAATTAAAAATACCGTTACCTATGACAATGAATGGAACTGTAGTAACGAAAAATTTTGATAATGTTGTCATATTTCGTTATGTTCAAGATTTTTATGAACTTGGTATATTAGGAAAAGGTGCTTTTGGTTCAGTTTTTCGTGCAAGAAATCGATTAGATAATCGTATATATGCAATTAAAAAGATTATTTTTGATACAAATCAAAATTGTCGTCAAGCAAAATCTGCTTTACGTGAAGTTCGAGTTCTTGCATTATTAAGTCATCCAAATATTATTCAATACCATTGTGCATGGCTTGAATTAGTACCTTATGAAGCACGTACACATCGAACAACACCAACAAAAACAACAACACAAATAAAACCATCACCTCCTAAAATTGAAAGATGGGATTCAGTTGATGAAATGATAATTTTTAAGAAAGAATCATCATCTTTATCAGAAGATAAACAAGAAAATGACGAAAGCAAATCTCAAACAAAAAGTTCATCAACATCAGACGATGATGGAAGCGAGGTAAAATACTTTTCTTTACAAAATTCATATTACATAGCATGATTAAAAACTTCTCGGACCTCTCTCTATTTATTCAAAGAAACGATATTTTGTCCCTTTCCCTATACCTTATATTGGACATATCGATCCTGATATTTCATACTAGATTCCTCTCGAAGTAAACAATTTCATCTGGTTGGTAACAGTCTCATGTCTATTATCACAATATTGAAGCGGAATTATTATCTAAGCTTGATTTCAGAGATGAAACTTCTCCTTCGAGCTGCACTAATTCGTACTAGTATTAGAAACAAGAAGATTAATTTTATAGTTGACATAGTTCACTTCCAATCTAAGTTAATATTTCTTCGAATATACTTAGCATTAGATTATAATTCTATTTAGATATCAACTTTTGAATTAAATGGTGAAAGTTTAAATTCTCAAGAATATCCTTCTGATACTGATAATACTTCGTTTTCGAAAGATCCTTCTCAAAACTCAGTATCAAATAAACAATTGATTCCATTTCATGGTCAAAACCAATTTGTCTCTTCATCAATGCAATCGAAATATATTAATTCTAAAATAGTACTATTTATACAAATGCAATTATGTGATACAACATTATGTAGTTGGTTACGTTATCGTAATGAAGCAATTATTGATGAAACATCTCATGAAAATAAACATATATCCTATTCATTAAATGATTTAGGACAACAACAATGTTGGCATATTTACAAACAACTTTTAGCAGCTGTTCAAGTAAAATTAAAAACAAAAAAATAAAACACTCTTACTTCTATTTGTTTTTTTTAGTATATTCATTCACAATCATTTGTTCATCGTGATATAAAACCACAAAATATATTTATTTCATATAATTCAACTGATCCATCATCTGTACATGTTCGATTAGGAGATTTTGGTTTAGCAACTTTATTTGATTCGAAAATAACCTATGATTCACCTGAAGATTTTATTAATGATGAATCAAAAAGTATCGGAACACCTTTATATATTCCACCGGAACAACTTCATTCAAATAATTGTACTGCAACAACAAAATCTGATTTATATAGTTTAGGAATTGTTCTTTTTGAATTATTTAATATATTTCAAACCGAAATGGAAAGAAAATGTTGTATAAGTAATTTACGTATACAAACAAAAGTTAATGAAGAATTTTCCAAACTTTATCCATTTGAAACAGATATAATTGAACAATTAGTATCATTTGAAAGTGAGAATCGGCCAAGTGCTGAACAAATATTAACCATGTATACAAAAAGAATGAAAGAACAAATGAAAAAAAAACAAAATTATTCTGAACAAATGATTATTGAACAACTACGCAAAGAATTACGTGATAAAGATTTAAAAATTCAACAATTACAAAAAGAATTAAATGATAGAAATACAAAAATTCAACAATTGGAACTTGAAATAGGCAAAAATAAAACATAGTCTTTATTTTAATAGGTTAATTATAGATATAGTAAACCAGATGACATGAATTAATACAGAGAAAAAAATAAAATGTAGTTTTTCTATTGCTTTTATGCGTGTATATATATTTATATTTATTTTCATAATATAATTTGGAAGGAAACTTCAGGTGAATTCTAATAGGAATATATTTTATTTACTAGGTTAACTAATGAAATATCAAATCTAGACGGTAATGTATTTGCTTGCATGAATAATCTAATAAAATCAACTTAAAGTATACTGTTAAGAATATATAGTTTTACAGCTTATTTCAAATTAAAAGGGCGGGTAGGTATTTTTTGGATAACGTTCGACAGGAACAAGATGGAGAACGGATGTTTTTACCGAAGACGCATCGAAGTCTATCTGAAAAGATTTCTCGAAATGCTTTTCTAAGTGGTGTAGTCAGAAATGAAATACTTCCATAGTTTTGCAACTCTTTTTCTAGCAGTTCTAGAATGCTATTAATGAGAGACACACTAGTTTTTTAAAAGCTTAATAAAATAGCCTTAGGAAAAAGCTAGAGAAATGTTTTCAAGTAACTATCGATACGTCTTCATCCTTTTTTTTCAACGGTGAAAATCACAGCTTTCTATCTTGTTCCTGTCCCCTTTTATTTTGAACTGGGCAGTAGTATACAGCTAATCAAAGGTAAAGTATTGTTAAAGTGGAAAATGCATCTTGAATGAATTCTCGGTCATTAAAAAAACAAAAATTTAAAACTCCTGTTTTTCTTGATTGTTTTAGATGAAACAAAAAAATTTAATAAACTTGACGATATATTTACTGGAAAAGATTATAACTTTCAAAGAATTAACTCCTTAGAAAGTTTTTTGTATGGAATAATACGATAAAATGTCATTTTGTCAACGATAATTACATCAAATAATTTGAAAAGAAAAGAAGGATTTTGTTTTTGATGTTTCAATATTCTAATTAATCGATTAAATTCAAATAATGTGATAACATTATACGAAAGTCTTCATATCAATCCATAGATATCGCTTCATTATTATATTCTGATCTATTTCAAATATGTCTGATATTACAAATTTGTTCGATTGGTCTATATATACATCCGTTAACAAAAAATTTCCATTATATATTTTTCTTATTCTTAAATGTGTGAACTTTTTTTCTATTGTTTCTTAGTAAATAAATGTGACATATATACGGCTTTTTCTTATAAATAAAATTTTCGTGAATTATATCTTATATTAATTTGTAGACATTGTAAATAACTGTCATAATAAATCTTCTTATGTTTAAAGATAGAAAAACATTTAGTCAAATTCTTATCTTTATTAGTTTTCTTATCTTTATTCATTTTTCACCAAGTTTATTACAAAAAAGTACAATAAAAATGCAATTCTCAATTAAAACTTTATGGAATTCAAAGCCTATTACTGATCATCGACCAGTTCAAATAACACTTTCAACTACTAATGATAAAGATCATCTCTCGATAGAAATTGATGCCCCATTTTTCAACGATCCAGCTCCAATATCAAAATCATTAGCACCTACTCCATATCCGGAATTATGGAATTATGAAGTTGTTGAACTTTTCTTCTTAGCATCAACAACAAAACATTATCTTGAACTTGAATTTTCTCCACATGGTTATTATCTTGTTCTTCTATTAAACGATCGACGAAAAATAATGAAACAAATGTTACCATTACATTATTATGAAGTTGAACGACCTTCACCAGATCGATGGATTAGTCGTGCACATATTCCTCGATCTTTATTTCCAGCTCATATCGATCAATTTAATGCTTATGCTATTCATGGTCAAGATGATCAACGTACATATGAATCACTCTATCCAGCAACAATCGATAGTGAAAAACCTGATTTTCATCGACTTGAACTTTTTCAAACAATAGATTTTAATTCATTATTAAACATAGGTGATAAAGATGGTGATGATTGGACTAATCACTAATGTATACCAAATGCAAATATAGTGAAGTTGTTCAAGTGTACAAACGAACATTGATTACATATTTAAAATATGATTATATTTATTTAAAATGTTAAGCTTCGAAATTTATACTATATAAAAAAAAGAGAAAATAAATCGATAGCAATCATAGTTCTTTTTTTCTTCTTCTTCTGACATACAACGATACTTTACATAAGAAAAAGATATGCCATTGAAGTAAGTAGGATTTTAAATTAGATCTGATTTATATATCGATCGATATTTTAATTTAAGCGAAAAAAAAACATTTATAAATGAATCCATATTTAATTTTAATGGATGTAATTCTTCCTGAAGATTTACAAATTTAATTTATAAAATACACTATTCATCTTTCTTTAGAATACAACATCAACGTAGAAGTCAGTTAAAACGTTTATCATCAGCTACAATCAATGATGAATCGAATGATGAAAAAGGTGAATATAGAAATAAGTTTAAGAGTAACAATAACAACAAAAAAAACATAGGTCATTCTTCTATTTGATTTTATTCAATTTCTTTTTTCTTCCTTTTCTATTGACTCACTTTGAAATCAAAAATTTGAATGATTTAACACAAACAACATCATTTCTCACTCACCTTGCTATTGACGTTGTTAACGACGTGAACAGTGTCATTGTTCTCGTCGTCCACACAAACTTTTTTCTGTTTGCATTTTCCTCTTCTACTTTCTTTCAATCATTTGGCTTCAAACTTAACAAAATATTCTCATTTTAAAATTTTCATTCTCACTTTTCTTTCACTTAAGTTCTTCTTCTTCTTCTTCTTCTCTTTTTTCTTACTATTTGTCTACATTTCTTTATAAAACTCATAATGAAATGACAAGCAAAGCTCGTGCCAAATCAACAAATATTAATACTCCTGCTGGTACTAATAAAAAAACAGATTCAGGTATCAATCATTTTTCAAAGATAAAACAAAATATTAAATATTATTTATTTATAAAACAAAAAAATTTTATTTTATTTTTTTATTTTAATTAGCGGAGCCATATCATTGTAAAGGAAAATTCTTGGAAGATTTTGAAGCACTATGTCGACAAGCACAAATTTCATTTGTTGTACCAGTTGTGCCAAGAGCACGTCCACCAGGAACTCCAATGGCAACATCATCTGCAAGTGATGCCAAAGATAAAGCAGCACCTAAAGCAGCTAAAGGTGCAGCAGCAAATAAAGAACGTGAAGCTGCTATGATTCAACAGCAACAACAACAAAATAGTGAAGCTGATGCAGGAGAATCTTCTCGTGGTTAGATTTATAACAAAAAAAAAAGAATATTTTTTTTCTACAATACTCTTATTTAGAAGAACCTTTACCAAAAACTTATTCACTACGTGATCATCTAGAATATTTCAAACCAAAAATTCAACTTGAAATGGATAATCCAGATAAACAAGATACTCTTACTGAAATTCATATTCATGCATGGAAAATTGATCGTCCTATTTTAGATATATTTGCTCAATCATTTCCTACACTTGAACGTTTACATACTCTTAATTTTTGGCATACTGGTTTCACAGATGATACACTTAAACAATTAGCTACTTTTCTACCCAAATGTCCTAATATTCGTACACTTATACTCGATGCTAATCCCATACCATTAGAACGTTATGAAGTTCTTTTAACTGATGAAAATTCTCCAATAGTAAATTTATCACTTCGACATTGTCGAATAACTGAACGTGGTGCTGCTTCAATAGCTCAAGGTTTAGGAAATGAACGTCGACAAAATAAAAAATTACAAACATTAAATTTAGCTTATAATTCTATAGGTGACAATGGTGCTGAATCTATTGCATGTAGTTTAAAATTTAATCGTACTTTACTTGTATTGAATTTAAGTTCAAATGATATTAGTGATAATGGTGCACAAAAATTATCTGAAGTTTTAAGTAAATTTCCATTAACACAAGAAGAATTAGTTTATCGAAGAAAACTAATACTTTTTTCATCGACAAATGAAAGTGGAGCAGGTGCTCATTCAGCTAGACGTGGTGATAGACGTACTTCATTTAATTCAAGTCCAACAGGCGTTTCAAGAAAAAAATCTGGACTTGCTGCAGCAACATTACCAGCAAAATCAAAAGGTGCTGCAGCTGCAACCGGTGGAAAAGTTTGTTTTTGTTAATATATATTTTATTTTCATATTTTTTTTTTGTTATTTTATAGGCTGATGCAAAAGAAGCAGCTAAACCTGTGAAAAAAGATGATAAAGCTGCGAAAAAAACTGCGACAATTGCTGAATCAAAACCAGCTAAAGGTGGTGGTGGTAAAGCAACTAGTGACAAAATGGCTAAAACACTTGGCAATCCAAAAGGTGCAAATGCAGGTGCTGGAAATCGTTCAGCAACACAAAGTGAAACTGATGTAAGTTATTAATAGAATTTACGTTTTTTTTTCATTAAATGCTTTTCTATTAGTATTATGATGAGGTTTGTTTTATTTTCTATGTATACACACACGTACACACGTTGATGTTGTATTTTCTTTCTTTAAATAGATATTTTAATTAATAAATCTAAATTCTATTATTTAGTTTAATATTGGTGAAGGAGTACCATTACTTGATCAAAATGCTGAATTAATAGACGATGATCTTGTTTTACCAGGAAATAGATGTTTACTTAGTTTAAATTTAACAAGTAAGAAAAATATTTTTCTTAAAAAAAAATTCATTTTTTTATTTTTCGAAAGAAAATCGAATATCTGCTTCGGGTGTTCAACAATTTCTTCAAGCAATTCAATATCAAGAAATGTTTATAAAACTAAATTATTCATCACGAAATTCATCATCAACAGGAGCACCTATTATTCCAAGTCAAGGTCTTCTTAGACTTGAATTACAAGTAAATTCAATAAAATAAAACAAAACAAAAAGCTTAGTAAATTTATTTTCTTTTTTTTTCGTAGCGAAATGATTTTGTTACAACAGAATGTGAAGCATATGATAAAATTCAAACATTATTAAAAAATCGTCG